CCCCGCCCCCAATCATTTTCCATTTTACTTCCTCCTTTTCTGTCTTTTCCAACCCTCTCTAGCAGGGGAACTCCTTTTTTTTTCCTCATTACCGATAAATGGTTCTTAAACACAATGTTGTGTCAGTTGACTTAAGTTCTAGACCATCTATTTTTAAAAGAACTCTCAGTTTTCATGGAACATGACATAAACATCAGTTAAAAACAAATAGTTAAACCACAACTTACATATCCAGGGTAGAATAAGGACAGCTAGAAGAGCCCATGCAATTAGTTACTATGTGGCATCTTTCATTTTTGTTGTCTGTCAGCTTCCTAGGATTGTAAATCTTAAACATTTAGGACTTCACCCAAAAAATTCTGTATTAGTGAATTTGTGGGATGATGGACAACTAAGTTGTGAGAAACTAGGTAGTATTATCAACAACCTGAAGAGTAAAAATGCTGCCAAGTTCCTGAAAAGAATTAGAAGCAGCAAACTGACTCCCAATTTAATTAGATTCATTCAGGAATTTATAAGAAGTATTGTTAAGAATAAGAATGTGACTGTGGAAAAGAGTAGAAGCTCAATGATACTATCCATTAAACCTCAGTAAGAACCTCCTGAGAAATGAAATCAGATGCTTCAGTTCAAATTTTCTTTTATTTCCATTTTTTCAGCCATGGCTGGAGAAAAGAATGAACACAAAGTAAACCACAGCAAAACAGATCTTTTAGAGCATTATATAAGGTAAGCCTTATGCCTTAGCCAGTGCTTGAGCAAAGCTGTTAAGTGTTAATGCATATAATCTATCTAGCCAGCTAACTAGTTTAATCCATCACATAGTGTGTGAAAACATAAAAGCAACCCAGCTGTGACAAGTTAATAGCAGGGTGAGGCAGTAAAACGGTAACAAAAACACACTTTGATTAATGATTCTGAATTGTCCAGCTCTGGTATAGATGGCTTTTGTCTAGGTCTATTTAGTGGCCAATCAATGCAAAATAGATCTTGTGATTTAAAGCATTACACCGGATCAGAAATATTGCCCCAGAATGGTAAAGACTGGGGAAAACACCACATTTTCATAGGAAGTAGAAGTAACAATTCATGTAACTGGACTTCCTTTAGAGGAAGAGAAAGAATTAAAACACACCAAACTCGGGAGTTGTTCCAGTAAAACCTTCAGTGTAAGGCATGCTAATAATTTGAATAAAGTAAGAACCTTTCCATACTACTAGTCAAAGAGCAAGGATAACTTTCTTTGACCTTTAAAATGTGTGAAGTGCTTCCTTTTCCTCATAGCTCAGTTTTGATTTCCACAACCCTACACAAGCAGTTTACAAATGGGGTCAGGACAAAAATTCTAAAATGTCAGGTGAAAATTTGCTTGCTTGGCATCTCTTAAATCTGTGGTGTTTTAGATATTCCAGTTAAGTATAAAATAAGCACACAAACTCTGGGGTACTTCAGCACACTGAACAGTCATCATTCCTCCTATTTCAGTCCACAGAATCCTTCCAGTTAAAAATACTGTTGAATAAACACACAAAACAGTCACTTTGTCCTCAGGATATGGAAAGCTTGAGGACCTGCCTCTCAGTCTGAGGAATTCAGGCATCTGTTATATCATAAGGGAATGCTGCAAACACCAAGCTGTGTGTTTTCTTGGCATTTTTCTTACCAAATAGGTGTCCTACACTATAAAATACCAGTAATAGGGTAAATATTATTCCTAAGTATTCTTCCTGTGGGAACTGTTTGGCAATTGAACTTATAACAATGTAAAGGGCAATAAAGTAAGATAAACTATCCATAAGACCCTTCACATTTGTTGAGCAATGAGAATGACCAAGAGAAAATCCTCTACATACCTGTAGAATGGAAATAAAAGCTAGAGCCATTGAGGAGCAATCAGAGTTATCTGAAAAGAACACAACGTTCCATTTCCCCAAACGCTGAAGGAATCACAAAACTGGAGGTCATTACTTCAATCACAGTTTCAAATATCCTGACCATTCACTGCACATCACACTGAGCATTCCCCTTGCTGCAACTCCATGTGTGGTTTCTGTGGTTGCTTTGGCTTACTGCTCATTCTTTCACCCTTCACTGACACCTTCTCCATTTCATGTCATACAGACCTCCATCCAAACATGATTAAATAAGTTGCATTTCGCTCTCCACTCCTTAAGTTTTGAATATTTTTCATTCTTGACTTTGCTGTGAGTTGCAATAAAATGTACAGTGACTTTGTAAAAGGAACTTAACACTTCATAAGTGATACGATCAATAAAAATGCTTTACAAAACAGTCCAAAACAAGTCTGTAAAAACAAAAAAATGCATCAGAGTTCACTTCTGACATCACAAGGTCTAATACAAACACATTTAAATGGTCTTGCTGCAGTGGCCTGTAGCAGGAGTTTTGAGTGCATAAAATCAAAACAAGAATTTGTTTCTTAGTCTTTGCTAGATATATGGGTATTTGGAGGTTTGTGATGGGTTTTAGGCAAAGTAATAATAAAATTCCGTGCGTAAGAAGTAAAAAAAAAAACTCAGACTTGGAACATCCAACAAATTTTTTAGGAGAATAGTACCACAGCTTAATTGTCAGCCCAGCAAGTAGCAACATAGAAAAGCTGTCATGTAAAGTGACAATATGACATGCCTGTAAGTAGCGTAGCTGTCCTAAAGAGAACTAAATTTGCCTGCCTGTTTATAGCTACCTATGAGAAACTGCCTGCTGTACTAAGTAAAGGCTGGTAGCATGATATTTCCATCTATCACTTTTGAAAGGAAAGTATATCGGTCATCTCATCTAACCCAAGCATACTATCTATGTGTGGAAATGAACAAGGGACTTGCTAGTCCCTTGCTAGTGTTAGTAACTGATAGTAAATTGGAGTTGAATGTTTCCAAAAAGGCTGTGTTAAAGAAGGATGTAACCTGTATAGATTTGGCTCTACAGAGAAGAGAAGGAATACTTAGTGACTATTTCTGATAGCTGATAGTTCAAGACCTTTGTTACCTGACATATTCTGAGCAGCCACATTCAGAGTTACATACTGAGACACCCATGTCTGATGATGTCTAAAGGATAACACTTGCCTACAGCTGCTGCTAATCCTCCAAGAACCTTTTAGAGATAAAAAAGTTCAGTGGGTCAACCTAACCTAGCCAGCTGTCTCCAAAAAAACACTTAGGAAGTCCTTTGAGATGTGTCAGATTACAAGCAGTGATTTGGAGCATCATCTGCACCAAGTAACTGTAAGTGCTACTGGCAATGTCCAATTACATGCTGACAGAAACACAAAACACCACAACCCTGATGTGACAAACCAGCTTGAAAACCTACATCTCCCAACAGAACATTCTAACAAATTCTAACTAATTTCTTTCTAACAAATGAAAACAGCTAAACGGACATGGCCCAGCTTGGCTGTATCGTTATCTGATTTTTAAAGGTTGGGTTTCTATTTCAGCTGCTACATGGAGTGGCCAGTCCTCATGGGAAAGGCATAGCTTCTGTAACATTCAATGTGGAGTTCAAAGAAGCCACAAGGACTAGGGAGAGGAGGTGCTAGAAGGATTTTGGTGGGGGGCTTTATTGTTTGTTTTGGGGTTTGTTGGGTTTTTTTTTACAGGATATTTTGGTCCAGGCTTGATACAATTGACGGCCAGTCATCAGAGAACAATTAGAGCAACGATTATGGGAAAGGGAGCACTGAATATGTCTAGCTACAACAGTTCTTCCCAGAGTTTACCTACTAAATAAGACTGAATGTTCACATGAAGGAAGGGGCCAACATTTAAGATACTAATTCAGTTTCTGAGGAAAATCTGCCAGACAGAATATCATATAATGCAAATAAAATCTCTAAATAAATGAGTTTAATGGGACACATGCCCAAGAGAATTTCAACAATGTTGAAGGCAAAGAACTGCTTTTGAAAAACATATGTGTATTTTTTTAATAGAAATGTTTTTTATAAAATATCTGCTCTCATTACTGCTTTAATTATAAAATTACTTTTAAAATATGGTAATTAAAAAAATGGGGGATAAGATTGCTTTCTTAGCATGAGGTGAAGGAATATTTCTTCTAATTTTCCTTTGAGTGAATGGGAATTAGAGGAAATATACTAGGACATGTTGCAGTTGCAAATATCAAGTCTAAAACATTAAGGCAAAGCCTTCCCTGATCAAAATAAAGGAAAATTTCCTCAAACCCAGGAAAAAGTCTTAAAGGAGAAAATATAAAATGTTTAAGAAAAAAATACATTTTTAAAAGAAAAACTTATGATTGAGCTTTTGTGAGGTAACATTTTTCTGAAAATATTTTGTCTTTTCCTTGCATTTAACAGGGGTTTAACATTGTAGTTTTCCAGACTAATTAGCTTTGTTTTCAGAGAAAGGGAGTTTTTGCTGCAGAGTAAGAATGTAACTGGTTAGTGGGAAACAGCCTCTGATGTCATTTTGCTGTATTTTTTCTAAGAAACATCAATAAACTTTATTAAATATATCAGGTTTAAGACAGAATATTCTTAACTACAACTTCTTACAAAGTTCACAAATTACTGAAAAAAAACAGACTTTACACAAATTAAGAGAACATTTCTGTGGGTTATTTTTTTTCCACAAAGAAAGAGAATGGTAATCTAAGCACTGAGGTGAAGAAAACTGGCAAGAAAAGTACAGAAATAAGCAAAAAAGAACACACTCACATCTCATCAAGCAATGTGGAAGGGGAAGGGGAAAGGCAAGGGGAAAGGAAAAATAAAGGAAATATACCTAGCTGAGAGAAAGTTCTGCCAGTGTGCTGAGATGCATACTTTTGCATACATAATTTGCCAAGCTGCCATAAATGAAAAGCTTGCAATAGAAGAGGGGAAGGGCATTGGGGGCAGTGGAATTGACAGCAATGAGCTTACTAAAATAGAACATTTGTATTTTGCCTGAGGAATAAGATTCCATATTACTATATATTTCAGTGGTTGGAATTGCCTGAAGCTTTCAATCAGTATATTTATGGTTTACGAATTAGTGGGCAAAGGACATCTACCACATACTGACAAGACTGCAAAGGCCTGAAAGTAGAACAACATTTCCAGCTACAAAAGCAGCTGATATCCTATCTATGTCAATGAGACCTTACATCTTATGTCATAACATTTCATTCATGGTTTTTTGAATGATCCCTAGTTACAATCCTTAGAATGCTCCTTGGTCAGGGATACAGAAGTGAGAAGACAAATTTAAGTTCAACTTGAGATCAAAATGATGGTCTAACATGTTCTCTTCCTTACTTATGACAAGATAGATTACAAGTTTTTAAATTCAGAATTTGAATGCTTGCCAGAAAGGAAGTAGATGCATTGCTCAGAAGTAAGGGGTAAACAGGCTGATTCAAACTGCTGTCCTCTTTTGGCTCATCTAACAATATAAGAAATATATACAAACAGTTCAGTCTAACTCGCAATTTATCAAGGAATAGCTTAAAAAATAAAGAGAAAATTCTAAATTCAAGATCAATGACTGTGGTTAATCTTAGGGCTATTCAGTACCCCTAAATTACTATAGGCTGCTGTTACACACTATAATAGCTTGCTGAGCATTTGTTAACTCCAGCAGAGTATATGTGCAATTATTTCTAATGAACTCCCAGCCCCTTAGGAAAAACTAAAAGTCCTTTTGAATTGGTTCTACCTGTTGGCTGCATTAAATTTGGAAACAAAACCCATACGTGTTCAAATCTCCCCATACGACAGGGCTCAGAGCTAGATTGGCATGTTTATTTTCAGAAAACCTCCCAAAGCATTTTAGGCATGGCCAAACTAATACATCTCTCCTTGACAGCTGAAGAACTTTTATTTCCTTAGCTAGAGTGTAACAGATTGCTTGCAGTTTAAGTCTCAATGTTTAGGTTGCACTGCAAAATCTGGCTGCCTGCTGGGGTTGTAAAGAGGTCCCATGCAGAGAGGGGAATTCTGGGAACATCTGCCCACATAAACTTTATGCAGCCAAAGAGTCAAGGCAAGGAACAGCAATTTGTGGAAGGTGAGAGAAAATAATTTTCCCTCACATATCAGCAGACTTTCTACAAATACACTAAACTTTAAAAAGTGTATCTGCTCTTGAAATTCTTGATTATTTAGCTGGCAGAACAATTTAAGCAGAAAGATAGGACTCCATCCTAATGGGGACACTATTTTTTTCATTTTCAGAACAACTTTTATTTATGTGCGCTTTCAGGTATGCGTTTTTTGACTTTCCTCTATATCACAATGTAATTGGAAAAATACAGTGTCACATCGGAGGATTTCCATTTTCATGGCAGATTTACATGAGATTGCCTCTATCTGGAAGATTCTTGATCACCAGTCAAAGTAACAGCTGGTGCACTCTGCTTCAGCTGTATTTGGACATTGGGGAATGTCATGTTATCAAAATGTTTTAAGTGCACCTATCAAAGCTGACATAAACTGGAACCTGCGACATCAGCCAAGCAGACTGCAGGTTTATTGCATGGTTTCACATCACTCTGCAGAAAGTAAATTGTGCACAGGAAGTGAAACACAGAAGTTATTCTAACGCTAAACTGACTTAACTTTCAACTTCCCTAGACAATATAATTCATTTTATGTCCCAGCACTTCTTGGGCTGTTTCTGGAATTTTAAATGTTTACTGTTCAACAGCCTGTGAATATTTTTTCCAAGATCAGCCTTTAAAAGATTATGAGACCCTAAACTACTTGTTTTACCAATATTTTGTTCACATTCATGAGCTTAAGTAAATAAAAGAAGTACAAGTATTCTGCATGTGTTAAAAGGCTCTTTTTACAGAATGTACCAAAGAATACTTTCAGATAGCATTGAAGTGGATAGCATTGAAACCCTTGTGAAAACCTTTATACAGTGTTAGATCAAGAACCATTATTGGTAAAGAGTTGCAGGCATTCAGAGAAGGTTTTTTTGGTATTTAAATCAAGATTTTTCCTCATAAGCACTTAATTATACACAGAGATTATGCTAGATGCAGGCTGTATATCAGCAGCTTCAGTAATTTCCACTTACTTTAGCCAATGATGATTTCAAATGTTTTTTTTCATAATACCCATACTGACACTATTATTTCATGACACATTATTATGTTCTAAAAGAATAAACAACGCACATCACCGAATGGCCTACAATGTATAAGATGTGCACATGCCAAGTGTTCTTTTCACAGTGGATTTTCAAAAGGCTTTACAATTCCCATTTTGGCATAAAATTAGGCCATAAATTGACTGGAGGCAGCTCCCAGACTGAGCTAAAGTTCTGCAGCCTGAATTTCTAGTTGCCAGTCAGGAAGGCAAAAAGAATTTTAAGTGCAAGCAGCTCATGTGTGCAGGAATAGATTAGAAGCACTAGGTAGAAAGCAACAAACTCATAGGAATTTAATGTTGCAATGAGGATGTTGCTGTGCAGCTGCCAAGTTATTCCCAAAGAGAAGAAGGCATAGATGACCATTCCAGTAACTATATTCTCAAGTCTATGTGTTCTCATGAATGTCCATGGTTTGCCCCTAGTATATCCCTCTTTAATCTCGATTTTTAGATCTAAGAATGTGTATTGACAAAGGGGCTTGAAACATTTAGGACTAAAAAGCAACCTTAAGCTTAATGTTATCACTTGTAGCTCACACATAGCTTGGTGAAAGCATTGCAGTCTCAAGAATAAACAGAGAACGCTGAATTTGTTGCTGACTGTCTTGTGACCTTTTCAAGTACCTAGAATAGTAATCACTTAGAACTTGTAAACAGACAATCCAGATGATGTTTACTGTGAGTAACTCTACTTCATCCTCCGCTACAGTACTCAGCAGGTGTCAAGAGCAAATTTTAGTGAAACTCACATGGATATAGCAGAAGTTTGGAATCTCATCCTAGCTGACACCCTTAGTGAGCCAAATAAAACAACTTACTGTAAACCTTAGTGTCTATGGGAAAGCTCTGTTCCAAAATAGGTTTTGTGAAATGTACCCTTATAAATTTACTACTGCTTTTTGAAAGAGAACTAATCTTTTCTTTTTTTTTTTTTTTTTAAATCAATGCTCTCTTTTCAGATATCTTTAATAAGTACATTCTGGCATTATTAAAAAGTAATGGATTTTCATGTTTGTACATGAAGAACCAAAGGTCTTTAGTAATGTTTCTCTCATTTTTCAATTTACTCCATGTTTATGTGCACCGCTTCAGGGCAACAACTCAAAGTCTTTGAGGTGATGGCAGGCTGGGCATCAGTTTGCAAATAGGAGATGGTGAGCAATTGCTTTTGTACTACTTGTTTTGTTCTGTTTTCTTTCTCTCTTTTTCCACATTCTGCATTAACTCGTGAGTTTTCCTGCTTTCAGTCCTCCTCTTCCACCATCCTACTGGTCATGGGAAAGGTGGGAGGAGTGAGGAAAAATCTGTGATACTTAGCTGCCTGGGTTTAATCTACAACATCAAGATAAAGCACTATGAATCTTTAAAACAGAAAACCTATGATGGTAAATAAATAGAATTTTTCAGAGTTGTGGGTGTGGGGTTTTTTTTATTTTACTGAGTCCACAATATATGAACATGAACTATTCAAGTCCAGTGTTAAAAATCAGCTGCCTTTTCTCCTGAAAATGACTCAAGAGGGAAAGACCAAACACACTGTTAAATATCCACAGCAGCAAGGTGACCTGTCACTGAGAAATACTCCCCAGGAAAGCGATCAGGGCACCGAGCCTGTCGGGGTTCAGGTTGCAACTGGACAACACTCTTAATCTTAGGTTTAACTTTAGTTAGTTCTGGAAGGAGAGGAGATTTGGACCTGATGATCCTTATGGGTCTCTTTCAACTTGCAATATCCTATGATTCCATGAACAAGCAAATGTTTATATATAAGCATCAAAGCAGATTTTGTTGCGGGGACTACCAACAACACATCTCATGGCTCTTCACACTGTGAGCTACACTATTTGACCCTCTAGTGCCTCTAGGGCACTAGTTGGCCCTCTTCAATCATATCTAAAAAACCATGAAAAGAAGCCTGTAAACTATTTGATAGCAGCATTTAACGTTAATCTGCACTCAGATTAGAGTGTGGCAAGATTTCCTGTTTCTGCCAACACTTCCTTTCATTTAGACCATTCATATGTATTCCAGGACACCATATTCCCATGCTGGTACAGAATTGAATTATGTGGGTTTTAGGTAGTGTTTAGGAAAAAACTGTCCCCAGTTTGTCTCTTTATGCCATCCAATCACCAATAACCCCATCTGATTTACATCATTACCTGGAGCTGCTGAAGTAGATTAAATTCAAAGATAAAAAGACAGCTAGTCCATAACTTCAGTTAATTTCTTACATTGGGTTACTGACCTATAGAAGAAAAACATGCTCTGCAGGCAGCCTTTTAGCTCAAAGGAAGGTCTCCTTGAAGCCACTGAGTTACCTCACCCAGTATTACCTCTGTTTTTGACAGGCACTCATCTTCATCACCAAACCTAACCTGACAGATGGGCTGAAAGCCCAGAGGCTGATCCAGGCAAGACCAAACATCTGGAATCTTTTGTCAGGTAGCTTCTCCTCTCACACTTTAGGGTAAATTTGTTCAATATCCTTTAGCATCTGATTAAAGAGAAAAAAAACAAAAAAAAACAAGATAAAAACCCTGAAGAGACTTTACAATACCTGACTTCTTAAACTGAGCTTTGAAATGTGAATAAATCTTCACCTCTGAAATCATCACAGAAGTGCAAAAGGCAGAATTCATGAGGGGACTTCAGGGCACAGAAAATCAGATGTAACATGAAATGTCAAGGGTGAAACAAAAGCAGTTATTACTCTGGCTTCTCACAGTTATAACTATTAGTGCATGCATTCTAAACTCCAAGCTCCATTACATTGTAATCCTACTCATATACAAATGACACCATGGAGCTGTGCTATTAATGATGTTGCTGTTTTTCAAGTCAGACCTAAACCTTTCTGTTTTGGAAAAATAAAGTAATAATTAAAATTTATGCTCTCCATGTGCTCATGCTAAATGTGGGCAGTGGTACCTAGAAGGCAAAAAGAGATTCTTTCTTCTGCTCAATGTGCCTTAATAGCACAACTAGGATCAACCTGCCCTAAAATTTTATGCTAGTTTGAGAGCTCACTTTTTTTCTTTCCACTAGCCAAGCCAAGAAATTAGTTCTGTAGATATAAAATTCACTGGAACAAGAAAGCAGAGTTGCAATTAGAACCTGATAGCAGCAAAGCAGTGAGCAGTGAACAATTAGCTGGTACTATCCTGTCCATTTGAGGTACTTACACTACCTGAAAAGGGAAAGGGACATACTGTGAGTGCAAATGGATTGTCCAAGCAAAAGTTCTGAGATAAATGTTTGGAGAATTCCTGTTGAAGCTTCTACTTCATTTACTACTCTGTTCTGCCATCAATATATATCCCTTAAATTACAAAACAACTGTGATAAATTGGCATTTAAGGACAAAAAAAGGAAACAGCTAAGGAAGTTAAGGCTGCTGGAGGCTGATGGGAGTTTTTTCTCCTGGCTGATAACTGGCCATTTCTGAGAATTGACAGTAGTTTTGACCATTGAAAAGTGAGATCAACCTGTGAACACCATCCTTTAAAACTTAAGCCCGGGAATTTCTCTCTTTGGTTTCTGGTTTTGAAGAGGTAACAGGGCTTTGGTTCAGCCCCCTCATCCCTAGGCTGGACAAGGTGGCAGGGGTGGGGAGCAGGGCTGGCCGGAGTTCTGCGGTTCCCAGAGAGGATGGAGACTGTGAAGTGACAGGAGACCCTTCCCAGAGGGGCTGAGCCTTCAGGGCTCAGTACATTGATTACTCAGTACACTCAGTACACTGGACCTTGTACAGCGGGGCTGCTGGGCCAGGCTGGTCCCTGGTTTGGCTGGAACTCTGCTGCTGCTGGGTTTCACCAGAGACTGCCAAGCAGGGGGAGGGAAGCCATCAGCCGGTGGTGTGCTGCCTCTGAGGGCTAGCCTGGCTGCTGAGATGCTGGCCACCCTCCCCCAGCACAGCCACTGAAAATCTTCCATCGCAAATAGCCCCAGCCGCTGCCCCAGCAGAGATCATGGGACCATCCACAAGACCTGGGAAAGATTTTAACCCTTTCACTACCCAGATGAGACCTGCAGATTTAATCCTTTTTTCTAGAGAGAAGAAAGCTAAAGTGATTAACATGTAAAGAGACAACATAAACTATCAAAGCCAGTGAGGAAAGGAATTAAGCCTCAGATGGGAAGAGAATAAGGAGATGCCTTAATAAGCTGAAATTTTCTTTTGTTGAAGCTATGGAGATGGACGATAATGTTCTGAAAAAACTCCTTTAATTCATGAAAGAGTATTTTTGGGGGAATGGAGTATTTCAAAGTGTGGATCTAAGCAAAAGTAATTCATTGATAGAGCTGACCAAATGGTGAAGGTAGTTGTGATCCTATGAGATGCTGGAACAGAAAAGAGAGTTGTTGAAGATTTGTGGCCCTTAAGAGACAAAGAGAAAATTTCTGTTTCCAGAGATGATCACAGAGGCAGATGAAGAGAACTTTTGCCTTTGAATAACTCATCCTTAAAATGACACCCCTTGAATCCATGGCCCACGAACACACCTCAGAGTGGTGTGAAATGGGAGGAAAAGAGTGATGGCAGAGTCTTCTCGGCAGCTGGCATCAGAGAAATAGAAAGCCATGAGAAAATGGTTTTCTTGTGAAAGACTCCATAGATTGACAAAAGAGAACTTCTTTTTCTCTACAAAGACTGATGAAAAGACTATAGCTAAGTTGGGACTATTTTAACCACCAGGTTTTGTCTCTATGTTGTCAATTAATCAAAGGAATGGTTGAGTGGTGGGGGAAAAGGGTTTCTGGAGGTTTTATTCTGGTTTCTTATTCTTGTAGTTTTGTTAATAAACCTTCTTTATGCCTTTTAAGTTTTAAACCTGTTTTGCCCTTCTCATAATCCATATCTCACAGCAAGAAATGAGTTTTCTAGTGATTTTTTAGCTAATGCTTTAAAACCACATCAGTAACTTATTTACTTACCCTAAAACCCAACACATTATGAAAAGAACGCTAAGATTGCAAAAAAAGTAAAGGAACCAAATTCAAGTGGGTGATTTGACTGCATGCATTGCTACACTGACTACTACTCCAGTAGCATTTTTTACAATTATTGAGAGGTCAAAGAAGCTTGGTGCATTGACAAGTGGCTGTGTGGCAGATCCCAGAGGGTCATGGTCAGCAGCATAGGGTCTAGTTGGAGGCTTCTCATTAGTGGTATCCCCGGGTGTTCAGTACTGGTCCAGTATTGTTTAACTTATTCATCAGTGATTTGGATGAAGGGGCAGATGCTCAGCAAGTTCATGGATGACACAGAGCTGGGAGCAGTGGCCAATACCCCAGAGGGCCCTGCAGCCCTTCAGAAGGGCCTTGATGGGATGGAGGGGTGGGCAGAGAGGAGTGGTCTGAAAATCAGAAAAGGCAAATGCAGGGTTCTGCACTTGGGGAGGTACAACCCTGGGCACCACAACTGGTTGGGGGCTGATTTGCTGGGGAGCAGCTCTGTGGGGAAAGACCTCAGGGCCTGGTGGACAACAGCTGTCCATGAGCCAGCAGTGTGTCCTGGTGGCCAACAAAGCCAATGGGATCCTGGGGTGCAAAAGGAAGAGTGCTGATAGCCGGTCGAGGGAGGTGATACTGCCCCTCTACTCAGCCCTGGTGAGGCCACATTCAAAATGCTGTGTCCACTTCTGGCCTTCTCAGAACAAGCAAGACATTGAGCTCCTGGAGCAGGTTCAAAGGAGGGGAGAAAGGACAATGAGAAGATGAGGGCATCTCCTTTCTGATGAATGGCTGAGGGAGTTGGTCCTGTTCAGCCTCAAGAAGTACTAGAAATACCTTAAAAATTATTTAAAGCATGACACATCAAGCTCTTTTTTTGTGGTTCTGAGCAACAGGAAAAAAGGCAATGGGCAAAAAATGATGCATAGGAAGTTTCACCTGAACATGAGAAAGAACTGTGCAGATGACAGTGCACTGGAACAGACTGACGGCAAGCTTATGGAATATTCCTCATGTGGAATACTCAAGAATGATCTGGATGCAATCCTGTGCCATGTGCTGTAGGATGACCCTGTTTGAACAGGAAGATGACTCACTGTGTTCCCATCCAGCCCAGCTCATTCTGTGATTCTGTGATCCTGTGAACTTCAGAACAAAAGATTTTGTAATTCATGCAGCTATAAAAGCAGATTCAAGTTCCATTGTGTTCTGTTGCATATGGCCTGTTCTGTTTCCTAGGTACTGTATTTACAAGGCAGATAATGTTTACGCAATCCAGAATTTTTAGCAGGAAATTAACACTGTAAGAGTATGGTTGTGATATGAGACTCATAATCTTATATCTACGATGGGTGTCTAGTGTGCTTAAACAACCATCAGAATTGTGCTGTATGGCTGTTTAGAGGTGCATTGGAGAAGCAGTTTGGATTGTTAGAAAATTCAGACAAAACGGAATGAATCTGTAATCCACACTGGAACTGTAAAATGACAGTGACTTAAAAGAAAAAAAAAAAATATGTGTAACTAGCTCCAGTTTTTCTTCCTACTTCTTTTTTTGAATAACTGTGTGGCAGGGTTTCTATACCCTAATCCATTTACAGAAATATTGAGTATATATTACACATCAAAATAAATAATTCCCCCATATCCTTGTACTCCAAAATAAGCAGTTAATTAAACTAATTTTTCAGTTTTTGTAATTTGGAAACTCTTCCTGTCATCCTCTCCAGTCACTACTTATTTAAATTTCATCCTTGGCCAGTTTCATGATAATGTTTATCTGCTCCAGAGGATTGGAAATGAGAGTAATACATTGCCATACCATTTAATTTCTTTCTCAAAGCTGGAAAAAGCAAAGCATCAACTGGTCAGTTAGATAACACAATGTCCCATGTAGGTTATTTGCTTATGATAGCTGGGGGGTAATTTAATTCCTGAGTTGCTTGTTTAATGGTTCTGAGTGGGCTTCCCTACAGTTAAGAATGAACTCTACATAAAGTTTCTATAAAAATTGAATGAAAATCTTCTCACATCAGAGCAGGTTATATATTACTGCAACACATATTTAACATGGAATAGTAATTTTCCACTATTTGTATACATTTTTTATATCACATTTATCATGTAGAATAATGAGAGAAAAAAAGGGAATATCATAACCATCTCTTGGAAACATACCTTTTTTTTCCACAGATATCTCACTTGCGCTTTATTTCTGATTTCTATTTTAACTGCTTCTGAAGAGTCTAGCAAAGAATTAATACAGGTTATCTGGGTCAAATAAAAAAAAAAATTACCTTTACTTTCATGCTCAGTGTGCTTTATAAACATTCAGTTAATTTCAAAACCACTTTCGTCAGATGCATTGTGTGTGCTTCTGGTTTTGCCACCCTAGGATATTGAAGGCTCATATGCAAAAGAGTATTTTTAATGCTCTTTCTGCTAATAAGAAAGTTCCAAACTCCTAGATCTGTGAAAATCCAAAGGGGCATTTCTCTGTAGACAAGTAGAGATGTTTGCATGTGTGCTGTACCTGCCTTGTGGAGTACGCTACTCAGACCACTATATAAGGTAAAAGAACAAGTTCATGCCCCAGCATTTTATCATACTGCTTCTTTTGGTATCATGTTCCCAACTGTGTACCAACTATATCTTGAA